ATGCAGAACAATGAAGGCTCCAGGAAAGCTTTCAGCTCAGTGCTGATCTCTGTATGGTTGGAACTCAATGGAATATTTCAGCCAGAACTGTTCACTCATCCTCATGTTGTTCCAAACAAAGGATGTTTCTGAGCTGCTCTTTTTAATGCAATGAAAATGTGCAGTGTTTTATACTGTAAAACTAAAAAAAGACTATATATACAGTGTACACACACACAAACATACATATATATATATATATATATATATATATACATATTGGGGACCTTGACAGTTACCATCCATATAAGTCCAGAAAAGAGAAGTTCAAACATTAAATAGCTCCAGATATTTATGACAGAATTCCATGATTCCCTGTTTTTGACCAATGAATTTCCACAACTTTAAAAAAATAAAGGTACTTTATTGGCATCCATCCATGGTTACATTAAACTGTTGATTGCACAGGCTCATAGTGGAAAAATATTATTTAGATCATTAAAATGTTTATCACAAGAAAGAAAAACAAAAGTTATTTCACTTAAAGGTTCTTTGGGGAACCAAAAATGGTTATTTTATGTCACTGCTGTGAAAAAAATAAAAAAAAAACTTCTGGAACCTTTATTTTTAAGAGTGTGGGATTTCCAAAAATCATTGTGATAAATCATTCAGGCTATTTTGTGAACCATTTAACCAATTAACAGAAAATAATCAAAGAACGATTTGGTTGCCAAACAAGTTTTGCTGAACACGAGAATATTTAGCTGCTGAAATATTTTGGAGCACATTTTCCATGACTTTTAATATTTCATCAAATGACTTTTCCAGACATTTTCAATTGTTCTTTTCCTTTTCCAGACATTAGTGTATGTAAATAACCATCATAGACAGCATTCATCAGATCTTGATGATCAGGGCTTCCAAATGTTGTTTTGGCTGTTAAGAGTATTAATAAATAACAAATAAGGATAGCATTACAAAACATCTGTTCCTTGCAGACGACATCCAGCATTAAATATAAAAAAGGAGAGTACTTTAAAGGGGTCATATGATGTTGCTAAAAAGAACATTATTTTGTGTCTTTGGTGTAATGCAATGTTTACGCGTTTTAAGGTTTATTTTCCACATAATGTACATTATTGTTTCTCCTCTATGCCCCGCCTTTCTGAAACGTGTCGATTTTTACAAAGCTCATCATTCTGAAAAGCGAGGTGTGTTCTGATTGGCCAGCTATCCAGTGCGTTGTGATTGGCCGAATTCCTCAAGCGTGTGACGGAAATGTTATGCCACTTAACATACTGTGATGCAGAGTCCCAGCGCGACAAGACAAAACCAACAAAATGCATTACAAATGAGGCATTTGTAGCATCCAGTGGGCACATAATTACTGATTATAATGACTTATACTGTCTTTTTAAGCGTTGCCTTGCGTATCGCGCTGCATAAACATAAAGCCATGTCTGCATTTGTGATCGGAGAAATGACAAACAACAAGCGCTACTCTACACTGCTCAAAACTCGCGTTTGAATCATCAGTGGCAAATTCTTTAAATATGTAAATGTACTTACAGACTGTGAGTCAGAAGCACCAGACTGTCCTTGCAAAGTTGGAACTGCCCCACTTTATAGAAACAGCCTTTGTCCACAGCCTTCCCACGATCAAGAAACAGTCCTCCATAAAATGCGCTGCAAACATTTGAATATTTGGGTTGAACTATTCTGGAACAGTGTTGTAAATACAACTTAACCACTGATTTCTAGTCGTGTCCTCTTTTGGAAGACCAAACAAAGTAGTTTCGCTTTCACAACAAAACACACAGTGACTCCACAACATGGCAGTGGCGCCGGCGGCAGCAACAATACTACACCGAGAATCAAAGTTACACCTTCTTTCTTTGCGTGAACATTTGGGCACGTTATGCAAATCTTCCCACATTGTGACGTAAACATGTGGGGCATGTTAGAACGAGCCGTTTTAGGTAGGTGTGGCTGACTCTTAACTTTTATAAAGAATATCTCTTTGTATTTGAGACTTTAGTCTTTGCAACTTTACAGATCTTCTTTATGCACCAAGAGCTTGTAACACTCCAAAGAGAAAGGAAAAATTGAAATTGCATCATATGACCCCCTTTAAGATAGCAGTAAAAAGTCTAACTCTAATGTTTCGATGTGCCTAATTCAAAAGGCATATTGTCATAATTGCTAATTTTGTGTATTTTAACCTTTTAAATCATGCAGCTGAAATGCCCGTTCTATATCCAATGGTGCATTTTAAACCTTAATGGTCATTACACCAAACGCTTCATGAGGACATGGGGTATGTCTGCCCAAGGGGATCCATTATGTGGCAGAAAAGCACAATCCCTGAGGCAGTTCGTCTAATTTACGTGGGCTTATTACAATGAGATACTGACAGAGCTTGACAATATAGTCGCATTTTATGAATGACCTTCTCTTTAACTGCAGTGTGGAAAGAGGGGAGGGAACCGGGAACATGCAGAGAAAAAAAAATGCCCCCGGGAGTGAGGTGTTTCCTCATTGGCTGTGTCCTCCGAGTCTCACATATTAATCTGTTCAGTTACACATACTTTCTCTAAGCCGATGGGTATCAAACACACACTTGCACTCGCATATAAACCCTATGCTTAAACAATCTTATGCACAGACTGGTGATATAACAAAACCCTGAAATAATTTCCATGAGTTCCTGTATCCAGATGCCAGTTAAGCAGCATTGTAAACATAGATATCATTCCCAAATTAATCTGCTTACGCAACCCCATCTGACATTGTTTAAAATAAACCATCCCTTTGCACACAATTTACCCAGAATTCAATGTAGTGTTCTTTGATACGACTGCAAGCAGAAATAGTGTTCGCTTGAGTGCTAAAGACTGAAATAGGGCACAGAAAGGACAAATTCAGATGGTTACGGTAGCAAGGAAAGGACAGAGCTGTTAAGGACGAGTCCAAATGAAAGGAAATGGTGAAAATGACAGGTACAGGAAAGGACGGACAGACCAGACCCAAGACATAAAAAGACATGGGGAGGAGGGACAGTTTTAGGATAACAGACACAAGACAGGATGTCCCAAATCTTGCAACGTGTCTGTAAGCGATGCAGGCTCTGAATTAAAGACAGATGCCTTTTAACCAAATCCACTTTTGAGAAGAAAATCCCCTCATTTCTCAGTTCACAGAGAGGCAGGAGACAAAAGCTCTCTCATCTCCCATTCTAATAGGCAGCTCTGGGATGCACACACACACATACACAGCCCAACAAACACACACTTAATATCTCTCTCTGCGAGCTGTCTTATCACGCTCTCTGTTCTCTTTATCCTGCTCTAGCCATGACACTGTCTAAATATCTGCTCCACCTTGCCAGCTAATGCTGCTGCTTTCCACTCTACTCCACATCGAGCACAATTTGGGTAATTGGTCACACTGCATGGGCTAATCCTTTGTTATTGTTTTTATTTTTATGGCAAAAGCTTGACCATGACCTTTGGGAACAGTAACGGCACATATCCCATATGGTTATAGGGCCTCTAGTAAGTTTAACGCAGGATTTGAAATGAACCACAAGAGATTTCTAAAATCCTTTAAGAATCTATAACTTTAACTTTGTTGCTTTTCTAATAAGGTTAATCTTTTTGGAATGTTTTGTGGCTAAATACACTACTATTCAAACGTTTGGTGTCATATATATATGACACCAATATATATCTATATATATCCCACAGATCATGTTTTCATGCCATTTTAAGTCTTATTTTGATGTAACAAAGTGATTATATCTAAGTGTTAGTTGTTTGTTTACTTTTTTGTCTTCCTATTAATGCCATTATATTGTTCATTCAGACTGATTCGCGAACACACACAAACACAACTCCTCTTACGTGACTTTCCCCCATTCATTCTCAATTACCCCCACCAAACTCACCTCATGCTTGGGGGTCTGTTAAAACTCAATGGGCTCAGGGGAGGCGAGAGAGACGAGGACTCCTGCTGTAACTTTACCTGCTGGTGTCGCTGTTGGACAATGTTTCTTTAGGAAAAACAAGTGATTTTATACTCTTTTTAATGTTATATATTAATATAACTATAAATATTTCTAGAAATTAATAATTTTATTCAGTTAGGATGCACCAAATCACATATTAGAATGATGTCTGTAGGGTCATGTCACGTGTGAGACTAAATACTGAAATAATGGTTGCTGAAAATTCAGCTTTGCATCACGAATAAATTACTTTTTAAGATATATTAAAATAGAAAACGGTCATTTTAAATTGTATTATTTCACAGTATTACAGTTTTTACTGTATTTTAATCAAATAAATGCAGCCTTGGTGAGCATAAGATACTTCTTTCAAAAACATTAAAATCTCTTTAAACTTTTTAACAGTAGTGTATATAGAACTGCATACTGAACCATTTTATTTGATGTTGTGGCATTAGAGCTCTTAAATCTGGAAAAAGACAACAAGATCACAAAAATGTAATACCAGTGGAGAGAACCTGAAGAATTTGATGGCTGGGGTGTCCAATTCTGCCGCCTTCCTGCAAAGTTTAGCTCAAACCTGTTAATTAAACAAATTAAGGTAAGCTCTGCAGGAAGGTGACCCTCTGGAAACAGAATTGGACACTTACAATATAGCCAGAGAAGTTCAGCACCATGGAAAGCGACCTGCCAATTCAGAACCACGGAGAGCATCCAAGAACTTCACAGCTAGGTCCAAAATGGGTAATTTTGTGCCATAAACAAAGCCTGCAGTTTTCAGAACCAATGAGTCTGCATCATCCTAATTATGCCATCCTTTTTCACACCAGTCTGGTTGACTAAACTCTTTATTATAAGGAGAGTAATTAAACGCTCTGCATAATTATTTACCCCTCAAAAGCTGCACATCGTCAATTATCTGTGATTCATTATTGTAGAGACACATGAAGGGCACCGTCATAATGATCCTAATTATGATAATCATCAATCCTTAAAAGAGAATTCAGTCACTTACGGAGGTGTAGAGGTATCCCTCGCTGTTCATGCCCAGGTAGAAGCCACTCTTCGCTCCCTGAATGGCCACTATCCGCAGACCCACAGGAATCAAGTTGAACTGTGCTGTGGGATGAAATCAGAGAAATTCATGCTCAGAGTAATAGATTAAACACTCAACAAAGAAGCAAAAACAGTGTCAGGTGTCAGAGAAAATGGAAAATGCAGGTAGAAAGTGGGCGGTTCTTGGGTAGAATAAGCTGCAAGACAACCAAACGTTTTGCCTGGAGTCAAAAGTCTGGCTTTGAGAGACTAGGGACAACGTGACATAGGATGAAACAGGATAACAGAGATGAAGACGAGAGTGACACATAAGGGCAGATGTAAAACTGACAGGGATGGAAAAGATAATGGCATGAGGTGGGGAAAGGTATACAAGAGGGACTATCTGTCCTATGTCTGTTGTCCTTGATAGAAAGATGGATTGTGTTTGATATGGATCATTCAAGGAACATCACAGAGTTAATGCTTCTAAGAGATAGCAGAAGATAAAACCTGGCAAAATAAAAGGCAATGAGAGGGAGAGAGATATTCCCTCACAGGCTGAGGAACACTGGGTAAATATTTCTGCAATTAGTCTTCAGTGAGATTTCCTGCTGGAGTTTGACAGATATATGACAGTATCTAATTGGTGTCGGACAGTATCGTAACAATTTAGCACCATCAAATTCACCTAATTTGGCATGTAGTGTTTAGGATTCATGTCAGACCTCCCTGTCAGAACATTCATTGGATGCTGCAATCGTTTGGTTATTTAATGTGTGCGACAGTCATTTCAATAGACAAGTGTGACATGTAAGCTAGTCCTTGACAACCCAGGCAGGAATGTGCTACACTTGTGCACCATGACAACTGCCATCCCAATAAAATACTTCTCAATCTGTTACTCACACACTCAAAAAAAACCTCACATAGAGCTACAAAATGCACAATAACTCATGACGCTTCACATGTCTGCTCTCCTTGGCATGTTATTTCTCTCTCCCTCACTGTCTCTTTCACTTCATGAACAGCATGTTATTGACATAAAATACAACATCGTACCACTGAGGCCTCAGACTAAACCTGTACAGAAGAATTGACTTCCAGAAATGGACAAATGTGCCACAATATCAAAATCTTTGGTTGACTCCAGAATACATGCATGTTCTAGACTGTTAAAAGTAAATATTCTTGAATGGTTCTTTGGATCACTTAAGGTGCATTCATGCTGAATTAACTTCTAGAGTTTGTGAAGTTTTGATGCTGCTGGTTGCTAATAGTAATAAAATCACCTGACTTTCACTGTCTGCATTCCCATTGGTGGCCACTGCATTGCATAACTGCTCATTTACAGTATATACAGGAAAACTCTGCTCAACTTTGTTGCATCACCAGTGATTGCACATAAGCCTCAAAAAGGCAAATTAAAAATTAATTAATTCTGAGCAACCATTTAACCATTAATTTCAACCTATATGAAAATTCTATACTTTTATTTTATTCTAAATTAGTTACAAATAAAACATTAAAAACTAAAAATCTATCTTTTTAAATGCTTCAAGTGAATTTAGGCATTACAAATTGTAATGTACAATATGAAAAATGGATATTCCTTTGGAAATTTGCTAACGATTATATTTAACAGTGTTATTACATTATTAGTGTTTTTAAATAATATAACTTTGAGTGTTAGATGATGGTGAAGGTAATGTAAATGTAAAAATAGAGGAAATGAACATGAACAATTAAATATCCAATATAAGTCGATTCAGATTTTTTTTTTTAAATCAGCTGATAATCGATATACTGTCTCAAGACAGGCTGTAAATCCCAGCTCAGTTCTACTTTGAATCATTATGTTTAAGGGCTTTTTAAGGGTGCATGATATTGACAAAAAAAAACGTATCTTTATTTTTTTAGGGGGATTTGTGGATAATAATTAGACCATATTTTGGTGAGTGTGTTTTTGAAGTGACATTTGAAGTGACATTTAGTTGTATTTTCATAGACAGTTTAATGGAGCTCAGAGGTGGCATAACTGCATTTACACTACAATTTCAATAAGCATAAGTATATCAATTATTTTTTAAATATTGATATTTTAAAATGTTTGAAATATTCAATGTTTAGAAATTAAATGACTGAATATTGAAATATGAAATAATTAAAAAATAAAATTATTTTTAAAGATGAAAATAAAACTGACAGTAGGTGACAAGTCACTGAGTGGGTCATTACAGTTTTTCTCGATTGCTAAAACACAATTTCTGAAACCTTGCTCCATTTTATGAAAACATTAAACACAAAACCTCATCTTCAAGCACTATTTAAAAAAACCTCTGACTCCTCTCGCAAAATGAAACTTTCACCTCAAAACAGTTTTACCTGTGTTCAAAATCAAACACTGCTCTCAAATCATAAACAAAGTGATCAAAATGATATACACTATCAAGCAGTCAGTAAACAATACACCAAAAAATAGAAAACACATTGTTCAAAACATATAGTTCTCAGGGAGAAGTAAATTCTTAATCTCAAAACAAATGTAATATTTTTCTGTCATTGTCTTTTGATGAACGAAAACATGTTCATAGTAGCTCAAAATTGATCAGAAATTATTACTCTGCTTTGCTCTTTGCAATTTTTTTTTGTACTTCCTCCTCCTCTTCCTCTTTCTTGCCCTCCTCCTCCTCCTCTTCCTCCTCGTCGCCCACCTCGCATACGCACTCGTCCTCGTCCTCGTCCTCTCACATTGTTTCTTCTACCCATTCTCAGACTTTCTCCTTCCCACCTTCAACAACCTGTTTGCTCTCTGAACTGGCTTATATTGGTTGTGTCACATCATTTGAAACAGGTTAAATCAATTTTGAGTGGTTGTGTTCTATCAATGACATGTGTTCTCTATTTGTATTTGATTGTTGCCACTTGTGTTTACCAGTATGGATGACATGTGCATTAGAGTGCAGAATGTGTTTTGAGAATAAGAATGTGTTTAGAGTTTTGCTGAAAAGTCTAAGTGAGATCTGCAAATTGTGTTTTACCATGTGAAATGGTGTAAGGTATTGACAACAGACTGCACAATTAGCTAAATGAGTTCAGGCAACTGAGAACTTTGTTCAGCCAATGGATTTGAGTGTTTTAGCAATCGAGAAAAACTGTAAATGCGTTACTGAATACTGAATCATTCACTCAAACCATTTGTTCAAAATTGCTGATTCATTCCGTAACGAAACACCCCTGTGTGTTGCTCACAGATTTTGTTTTTGCAACATGAGTGACATACTCTATAATGTCGGCTTGGACATTATTAAAACAACAATTACGAAATTATCATAGATTATACATATTGCACACCCCATAACAACAACTGCACGAGTGAATAAATGAATTACTTCATACATCTGATTAAAAAAAACACAAACATGGCCAAGAATACGTGAACATCCTCTTCTAATTACCTGCTTGCTAATTGCAAATAACATTGAAATACAATTTTAAAGCCTCATACAAATACTAGAAATCATGAATATAAATAATTGGGAATCATGTAAAAAATTAATAAAATAAAATAAAATAAAAACAGTGCGCATTTCATTTATCTATTATAACATTTTTGTAGTTTTGTTCGCTTGACTGTTTCCTTATAAAGGTCCGGAATTTTGTCAAGTTTTTAGTCAGGTGTCTTTTTTAATTATATGA